TGTGAATAAACATCATTGAAGGATATTATTTTATGGCTTTTCAATCACTTTACTATTATCTTATCACATATGATTATGTGTCATGTGATTGTATACACCATCATCTTTGAATAATTCTTCCAAGAATTTGTCGTCTTCAAAGATTGTATCAAAATCCCAGAGAAAGAATTTGAGGTGGTAATGTTCCTCAATTATGCAAATTCATGCAGCGAAAATAGTACGGTATTAGTGCCAACGTATTAATGTGCGATTATTAGGCCATCATTTTTCAGGTATGTCGAACAATATTCGACAAGGGTAATTAACCAATCAGATTGCGGAAAGCACTCACTATTGGTTTTACAATATGTGAATAACACTGTATTGTGTTATTCACAAATAAAGAAGTTGACATCCATAAATATTGCTTTTCCTATGCATTTCACTTCTAAATGCCCTCAAAGATTTCATCGCCAGCGTGTTTGTCACAGTTTGATGTGTTTACATGGCACAGCACAGGTACATCCTGAGACGGGTGTCGTCATTGGAATCTGAGTACGCTACTAAACATGTTGACTTATAGGAAGAGTTGCATTTCTATGTCGATTAGAGTTTCAGGACCAGTTCTCAAACAATTAAAGCACACTGTTTCTGGGCTAGACTCCTACCCGGCAAACAACAAAAGCTGTCAAGAATTTTATACCAAATGTTACATAATGAAATCTGTATAAACAAAAGGAATCAAACATGGATAAAATCTGTGAAAGCCCTTTTTTTAAAACTGGCTATAGCTTTTACTGGCTAAGTCAACAAGCTGTCTTTCCCAATGAAATTAAATTATTATCTCCTTAACGTCACATAATATAGCAACTCAAACATGGCGCCCAGAGATTTTGAAGTCTTCTAAAGGCTCCACTTTTCGCGTATTCAAAACTGAACTTGTCCTTGGTAAATATAAATCATCAAATTCGTCGTCGGTAAATATTTCACATATATCCTTTTCTCCTTGGCTATTAAATTTCTCTTGTTTAGAACTTCCTGCCATAGAAGTAGGTTGGTGGCACAAAATTCCACCCAAAGAAAGAACCTCTGCGTAACCTTAGACTAATGCTTAGTCTCTGAATATATAAAATTTTGATAGTAACAAACAAGCCCATTTAAATTGAAAAGGAGCCCTAGGGAGACCAGAGATTCAGCACCTGAGGAAATCTAGACTTGCTTTATTTAGGGCCTTAGCACTGCAGAGAGGGCTTGGCAGTAGGGAAAATAATGTGGTTCAGGGACTGAGACAGACTAGCATAACCTCTGTGACACGCGTGATGTTGGCAGTGAGTTTCATTACATTATTCTCTGCCGTTTCTTCAAACATCATCGGAAAACTTACATCCCAAACCATAATGTTTAAAAGCCCAATGTGTTCAAATTTAACGAATTGTTTAACTGTAAACGAATTATTGTTTTAAAGACACTATGTGTATTATGTAATGCCATCATGAACACTGTACAGTCTTCCATGTAAACCATTCAGCAATCATATGTACTCTTGACTGTATATTTGTACCTCTTATGCCGAGTGTCCCGCCCTGAGCGTAATATACGTTCTGTTTTCCTTCTGTTCTCCTGAAAGAAATCGAAGATTTCAAAGAGCAAAATCAAAGATTTCAAAGAACGCAGGAAGTTTCTTGTTCAAGAGGTTTTTTTAATCAATGTTACAAAATTCAAGGCATCAATAAAATGTCAGAACGTTTCCTGTAGGCATATCCAAATTTCACGCATCAGTGACAAAACTGACATGCGCGTGTTGTTATGGGTGATGATACATATCTGATAATATATTGCATACTTTTGTATATTGATGAACCTACATGGTACAATTAGATTCAGCTTAAGGTGAGGGACAATCACAGGAGCGAAACAAACTGTCATATAACTGAATGGAACGTAAGTTTGGGATTTGATTGATTAAGGCAAGCTGCCTTTGTAAGTGAATTCTAAGTGGCCAGCCTATACACAAAGCATTTAAAACTAAAAAAATCAAGGGGATTAAGCGGAGTAGAACTGGGGGATTATAGCTCATATAGCTAGCTCAAATAACTGAGATCCAGTGAACCATGTTTAGGCTAGGTGAGGGTAAACCGCTGAGGGTAAACCATTTGAACTGAAGCTCAGTGTTACTCTGGTCTGGTTCAGAAGTAGATTGTAGTTTTGACTTCTGTCAGTTTTCTTCCCATGGTATGGATGTGAGGAAGTTATATACAACACTTATACCCACGTCGGTCCTGTTGGAATGTGTTAAATACGGAAAAGTCCTAACTGTGAAATCATGATGTTCTTACAGACTTCGAAAGCCCTGGAAAAGAGGTGATTGCCAAATTGCTTTGCCAATACCTATTGTGAATGCCCTCTTCATGTACTACACTGATAAATCAATGTTTTGTACCTCCCACTATTTGGATATTATTAAAATCATGCATATTTAATTGTTCTCATTTAGACAGATTGTTGTGTAGTCCATTTAGTTGTGCGAGAGAAGTTGTAATATACCCCTGTATTACACCTTCACTCGTAACAATGTCACTTGCTCGTACTGTGGGCAGAGTTTGGGCGCCTTGGTTTATGTGCAAAGCATATGTAACGGAGTCTCTTTGTACATTGAAAAACGACAAAACAACCACGACGTTTCAGTTGCTGGACCAGTTTAAAGGTATGACACATAACAGGAACTTCAAGATGGCTGGGGAAAATCTTAAGAATCGCGAAGGGGCTATAATACGTGTATTTATTTCTAAAACTGATTTATCGAGCGACACAGTTTCTTATGAAACGTAAATACTAACAAATGAAGCTGATCAATCCTACAAAGTTTAGACTTTGAAGAAAAGAATAACAAACGTTCCCTCAAGCGTTTTCTCACTTCTTGAAAAACCGCCTCAATATTTATCAAGCACTCGTCACCCGCATTTCAATGAGGAAACATGTTGTAAGAAGTGTTGATCAACATATTAGACTATATATGTTACATTTTGTTTTACGTGGTGTTTATTAGTTTACCCTTTCACCTTTGTATTTTAGAATTTGCTTCTAAATTTTCTCAAAATGCATTAACTTTGCACTATAGACACCATATCTTAGACACCAAAACGTGCCCATGCCTGCTCCAAACAATGGTGACACCTGACTTGGTCTAACTGGTTCTAATCCAAAATAATATGGCTTCTCGGCAGAGATGATGACTAAATCACTTAAACTATGTGTGGTCAAGAACATTCAAACTGTTCCCTCAAAAAGGCATGTACAAACCCACAATCATTCGTCACACCGAGTCCATTATCCACAACATGGCTACCAGTTGACCCCAGCACTGACAAGATCATTGTTTTGTATTGTGATTGTCATATTGTCATGTGATTGTCATGTGATTGTCATGTGATAGTTCATATAGAGCATTTCACCCAGGCTATGTGATTATGTCGTTAACGTCATGGTTCCTTGGCTCTGACCAAGCAATCCAAAGGAACTTGTAGCAGTAACACGAACACTGACCAAACAATACTTGTGTGTACAAAGGTATGACGAATGAGCAGGCAAAATAGTTTATTTCATTCTCCAAATTTCAACCGCATTACATAAAGAATTTGTCGTATTGTACAAAGGAACAAACTGTAAATACATGTTCACAGTTACAAGTGTTGCTTCAAAACGAATCAACGGCTTTTACGTCTTATTCTTAATAACATATTGAAAACCTAGAAATAATTAAGATGAGCCAAAAAATAATAAATGTTTCAATCGTTTTTAATAAATAGCTACAAACAGCATGTGCCATGGATGGCACGGTTAAGGCGCTGCGATTTGACGTTAAAACTTGTATCATCATCATCATCATCATCATCATCATCATCGTCATCATCATCAAAATGTTTGTTACGTTTGTAGGCCATGGGCCCATATTGATATAAATATTCCAAACAGATATGAAGGCGTGAACGAAACAAGGAAACAATTTCTCAAAATGCATAGCATTTACCTGTCTACCTGCATATCTTACACCCCCAGTAAAATATACAGTGGAAGCCCTCTAGACCGGCATTCGTTGGGACCAAATTCAAGTGCCGATATTGAGAGCATGCTGGATTGGAGGGCTGCCGGTTTAGAGGGCTTCAACTGTATATAATGTATAGCTCGACTAGAATCTTTAGAACTTAAACACATATTTTCTAACTTTCTATTTTTACTCTCATTTCGTATGTATAATAGATAAAACTAATTTGGTAATGTCTTCAATTTCATTTAAGGATATTGCTGAAAGATACCAATCAACTTGCATATTCTCAGGCAAACATCTACCCGGAAGTTCTTTATAAGCCGGACATGTCAACATAAACTGATATTCACCTTCTATCTGTGAAACCTGATGATTGTGATTCCGAACACTCTTTGTAAAGTAGCGATGCGCTTTCATTGATCGGCACATGCATAAAAGAACAATGCCATATTCATATTGCATTTATTGCATTGAAGAAGTTGTCAGTCAATAAACTTGCTCTTCTTCGTCATTCAAGCTTCTAAAATTCACTGGACCCGTGAAGATCCGGGTTAGAATTGATCTTCAGTAACCTATGCTTGTGGTAAGAGTCGACAAACGGGATCGGGTGGTCGGGCTCGCTGACTTGGTTGACACATGTCATCGTATCCCAACTGCGTAGATAGATGCTCATGCTGTTGATCACCGGATTGTCTGGGCCAGACTCGATTATTTACATACCCCCGCCATATAGCTGGAATATTGTTGAGCGTGGTGTAAAACTTAACTCACTCTCACACTAAATGTCACTGAAAGATACCATAGGGGATAGTAGCAAATCTGATATTTAGTTTAAACATATTTTATTCACAATGTGAAAAGGATCGGGGACAAGTTCTTTCAACTTATTAAACCCCTCTCCGAAGATATTTACAATAACTGATATTTTGCTGGGATGTTTCGAATTTTAGCATTTAATAATACAGGTCATGTTTACAATCATTTACAAGACAGGTTTGTGGATAACTGACTGAGAACAAGGTCACAGTAACATGGTTATCGTGAGGACAAGGTCATATAAAATACATACAATATGTCCTTACGGTAAACTAAGTGCAATGGTGGAGTGGTCACATTTGTTTGATGCACATCGTCCTATCCCAAATGCTCATCAATGCTCGACCAATGTATTTCCTGGTCCAGATTATTTATTTCATTTTTTAATAAAACCCGCCATATGGCTGGATATCATGAGAGGCTTTAAACGATCCAATCACCAAACACGTTACCGGAATGAGGGATTAGGGAGTACGAATATGTTATAACAATCAGTTTGTAGGTTAAATGTCGATTAACAGTCTTTGATAAACATTTGTGCTTGATTACTCCAGAGAACTTTATGTCCTACCACCAGATGTTCTTCGATGCCCTGTCCTGGCACACCACAGTCGTCGTGAAGGAACCAGTGCTGTGCACGATGTTGCCGGGCACATTTTAGTCACTTATCCAGATCTGTTGTCCTTCCGTTGCCCTCGTGGCACTGGGCGTAGAGGTAGACGTGTACAGAAGACACTGATGTAGCGCCCTCTGGTGACTGAAGTAGACGCAGTGGTCGAGAGTCTGGCACGACACGGCGCACTCGATATTGGTGTTTGACGTCACTGTTGCTGCCGCTTGCTGATCAAACATGCTGTCCTTCAGGTAGAGACTGTATGTGGTGTAGAGGAAGCTATGGTCACCTGTAAACATAGTACAGTGAGATAAAGCGGGCGTCGCCTTGTATTAGTACCATACAGGCTCAGAGTGGCCGGCACGTCGGACCTCTATGGAATTCAAAACCAGATATATTCTGTCCTGTAAAGTAGGCTCATTGGTGCAAGGTTGTGATTTACTGTTCAGAGTTGCGTGCAACCCGTAAGGATCCGGGTTAGGATGGAATCTCACCACCCCATGCTTGTCATAAGACGCGACTAACGGGATCGGGTGGTCAGGCTCGCTGACTTCGTGGCGCAATTGCGGAGATCGATGCTCATGATGTCAGTCACTGGATTGTCCGACGTGCCGGCCACTCTGAGCCTGTATGGTACCACACGTATGATAATGAGTAGCAAGCCAGATACACCAAAACGTCCTGACTGCATTTTAGTATCATTGTAATAAAGCATGATATTTTTTTGTGACCCATATTGGACAAATACAGTACCTGTACTGCACAGGAGGTGATAGACATTATCACACTCCCTCGAATCCCACTGATTGTCCCGCCGTCGCCACACCGCGCATTTCTGTGTGGCCAGATTGTCTGGCTCATCATCCGCCGTCACATCCCATCGGTGAGCAGTCACAGATTCGCCGTTGACCCAGCTAAACTGCTTGCCGTTCCCCGTGTACACCATACCTAGCCACGCTTCCACTGACCTGTTGGCGAGAGAAGAGATATGCCTTAAGGCTGAAGCTACCTCCATTGAACTGTTGTACAGAGGATATCAGTCTTAAGTTTGAAACTAAACTGACGAGCAAAAGAAAGTACACAGGTGTAATTGTTGTTGCAATCCCAAATATGCGTTCTAACTAATAAATTTATTGAAAAACACTGATTGGGTAGAACGCAACCATCATGTTTCATTTGCCAAAATGCAACCAAAAACATTTGTACGTGTTTTGCACGAATTTTTGCAAAATTGTGATTATTGTCCCATGCACCAGCACTTTTCTGACAGAGGGTATAAAACCTGTTTGTCGTGAAGACTGAACAATTACTTGACAGAAATCTCACGAGGAAATGCCAAGGTTGACGTCGGCGCAACGAGAACGGGCCAAAGGAATGACACAAATGGGTGCTGTCAACAGCGATATTGCAAGGACATTGGGTTGCACAAGACAAACCATAATTCGGCTGTTTAACCGTTTCAGTACGACAGGCCAGACATGTGATCGACCCAGAAGTGGACGTTCCAGAGTCACAACACCCCAAGAGGATCGCTGTCTGCGGGTTATTCACCTACGCAAGTGGATGTTGACGGTGACGTCATCAGCAGCAACATCATTGGGTCATCGCGTAAGCCGATTCACAGTGACAAGACGACTTCGTCCTGCAGGCATGTATGGGCCTACCGACCGCTACGTGGAATTGCCTTGACCTTCCAGCATCGTAGGAACCGTCTGCAGTGGTCATCACTACATCGCTGTTTATTGTTACAATGTCATTTTGCTGATAAAACACGTGTATTGCAGTGTGCTTCAACATACATTTTCCATTTCATCAAAAGGTTTTGTTATTTTTATCTTATTGGAAGAAACACAACCTGTGTACTTTCTTTTGCACATCAGTTTACTTGAAGCCACGCCTCCACTGAGCTGTTGGACAGAGAAAGACCAGTTTCAAGATTAAAACCACCTGAAGCCATGCCCCCATTGGATAAAAGCGAGGACGTCGGCCTCAGCATGCAAACTCCTCAAGCCAATTCCACACTGACATGTTCGACAGAAGACATCGGCCTCGACAAGGAACCTACATGCAGGCACAAACCTAGTTAGCGTTCCGACAGGAGATATTAACCCCAACAAAAGGTTTCGATTCTCTGCATATGATTTTCAAATATAATGCTGTGTACCCAAGTGGCTCCAGATATGAGTTCATAGCCTCTATGTCCTCGACTGTGTCAGCAATGGCCACCACCATCCCATACTCCTTACACTGTTCCTGGGCCTGCTTGAAGTTCACCTCTCGGGGCTTGTATACGTAGGTCCTCCCTGGGAACGAAAAACCACAGCTGATTAATAGTCTACAGCTTATCAAAAACAGCTGATCAATACTGCACAAGTAACTACACATTATATAATACAATAATATCCGTCGTATAAGAGATCTGTGGTGTACAGGAGAATGATACTATCGTGTATTCATAAATGATATCATGTGCAAAGTGATTATAAAAGAGATTCTACCTTGATACTTAATAGCTCCAGTGTTCATGACAGAGTGATATTCAATAGTCCCAGTGTTCATAACAGAGTGATATTCAATAGTCCCAGTGTTCATAACAGAATGATATTCAATAGTCCCAGTGTTCATAACAGAGCGATATTCAATAGTCCCAGTGTTCATAACAGAGTGATATTCAATAGTCCCAGTGTTCATAACAGAGCGATATTCAATAGTCCCAGTGTTCATAACAGAATGATATTCAATAGTCCCAGTGTTCATAACAGAGTGATATTCAATAGTCCCAGTGTTCATAACAGAATGATATTCAATAGTCCCAGTGTTCATAACAGAATGATATTCAATAGTCCCAGTGTTCATAACAGAGTGATATTCAATAGTCCCAGTGTTCATAACAGAATGATATTCAATAGTCCCAGTGTTTATAACAGAGTGATATTCAATAGTCCCAGTGTTCATAACAGAGTGATATTCAATAGTCCCAGTGTTCATAACAGAGTGATATTCAATAGTCCCAGTGTTCATAACAGATATTCAGTGAGTGTTCATAACAGAGTGATATTCAGTAGCCCCAGTGTTCATCATGAACAGAGTGATATTCAATAGTCCCAGTGTTTATAACAGAGTGATATTCAATAGTCCCAGTGTTCATAACATAACAGAATGATATTCAATAGTCCCAGTGTTCATAACAGAGTGATATTCAATAGTCCCAGTGTTCATAACAGAGTGATATTCAATAGTCCCAGTGTTCATAACAGAATGATATTCAATAGTCCCAGTGTTCATAACAGAGTGATATTCAGTAGCCCCAGTGTTCATAACAGAATGATATTCAATAGTCCCAGTGTTCATAACAGAATGATATTCAATAGTCCCAGTGTTCATAACAGAGTGATATTCAATAGTCCCAGTGTTCATAACAGAATGATATTCAATAGTCCCAGTGTTCATAACAGAGTGATATTCAATAGTCCCAGTGTTCATAACAGAATGATATTCAATAGTCCCAGTGTTCATAACAGAGTGATATTCAATAGTCCCAGTGTTCAGTGATATTCAATAGTCCCAGTGTTCATAACAGAATGATATTCAATAGTCCCAGTGTTCATAACAGAGTGATATTCAATAGTCCCAGTGTACACGTAGTACAGATGAGGCGACGTTTTGATATATTGTCTCACATCTTTGTCATGATAATTATCTATGCGAGAACTCTTCCAGGGAGTAATGCCTGTGTTTTCATGTTTTGTCTGCCCAGTAACTCCGTCCCAACGTTCACTGCTAACCACACACGAAGCAGCCACAAGGTGCAGTAAAAACTATTATTACTCTATGAACACTACCCATTCGTGTTTATATGCATGTCCCAACGTTCACTGCTAACCACACACGAAGCAGCCACAAGGTGCAGTAAACACTACTATTACTCTATAATATAATCTCGCCCTATAATAACGACAATAACCAGAACATTTCTAACGAATCATCTTAATTGTGATTTTATATAATTATCTTAATATTCGAGGAATGATATAAACTGTCAGACAAAAGAAAGTACACAACCTCGTCTGATGTTGCCGAAACAAGTGAAAAGTGGTTATTCGATGGTGATGTGAAAAGAGTTGAAAAGTCAGGGATGTATAATCTAATTCTGAAAAAGCAGCGAAAGAACACAGTAACAAAAGTATCTCGTGACATTTACGAGTCCGTATTCGTCTTACCTGCAGAACATTGCAATACTCCAAAAGTTATCAACCAGACGCTGCTGAAGAGAAGAGCGACAGGTGCATGCATTCGCGTCATCGTCGGCGTCCTCAACTACACGACTCTAGCGGCACGACAACGTGGACAATCGATGTCTCATTATGTGGCTGGCAGTAGGATGGGCCTGTAACCCGTGAAGATCCGGGTTGGAATTGCTCTTCACCTACCCATGCTTGTCGTCAGAGGCGACTAACGGGATCGGTGGTCAGGCCTACTGACTTGGATGAAACAATGTCACCGTATCCCATCAGCAAATCTACATTAGTTTGAACGTTCAGGTCAACTGTTGTACTGGTTTTCTTAATAGCGTTCTTTGTAAATGAAACTACAATTATGAATGAAATTAGGCATCAAATATAAATTAACATCGAAATCCTCTCAATATTCACAAAGTAGCTGTTTTGATGTAGTCGACTGTAAGATTCTAACCAAGCCATGAGCTTTCAAAACTAAAATTAACACTACAACACGGCTTCGTGGGGATGAACATGACAAACCCATTAGAAACTCCATATTCCATAACTGATTGCGATATGACATAGCGAGGTCTGACGTAAATACCTGTCCTGACAATGTGATCGTATACAACAGACCATTGTGCATGCATCAGTCATTAAGACTGGTGTGTCGACTGTCTTCGTTTGTGTTTCCCGTTGTCTTTTGTGTCACTAGTCACGAAAACCTCCTTCATGTTGCCACAGGTCTTCAAGATCAGTTAGCATGCACACGGTAGAATCAATTCCTGCAGTCCCATGTGTATCTACAATTGCTTTGTAAACAGAGTAGTTTGACAAAGTAAATGAGTTATCGAGGCTTCTGGAGATGTGATATGTGCCCATTATTACAGTGATTAATATCAGTATTTACATGCAATAGCTTTCAGTCATGGAGTCAGATTGATCCAGTTCTCATTGCGGACCCGTCTAGGATGACCATGTGGTTTCTATTGACTGATATCGATAAAATAATGCTAGTTTGTTGTTGTGACAGCTCCGCGTTCCTTCTTTCGACTATTCCTAGTATTCACCGTCTTTCTTTGTAGTTGCTTCTATTTGGGCGACTCTCACAAACCGTGGGAATGCACTGAATGACGAGGACGGGAGGACCGCGAGGACATTCGGGCCGTGTCCTCAACTTAACCTCTAATAAGTATCGCACGCCTGTGTCAAGGTACCTGTATGCCTTGTCTCAACAGGACATTGATCACAGAACATGATGAACATAAATAAAGTTATATGTCTCTGTTCAGATGTAAAATTATCAAATATACTCATGCCAATAATGGTTGTCACCCCCTTCAATTGTTTTGATTGAAGAGGGAGTGTGGGGTGGGGGTGTCAGGTGTGTGTGGGGTTGGGATGGGGAGGGGGGTGACAATCAGTATTGGCATGAGTATATGAAACCAAATGTCCTTAGTCCAGTTTTACACAGAGAGCAATGTGCGGAATACTGCACTTCCTTGTTGATAACTGCTATACAAAAATTTCGGGGTAATTTCTTTAGTCAGACGGAAATAGTGTGCTCCAATTCTTGCTGCACTGTACTTGGTACTTGGCATTATAATTTCTGAATTTCTGGTCGGCTCAGTGAATTTCTTGCTATAGACTGTTTCATCTAATGTGGTACCTCGCTAGTACCTGGTGTCATCTTAGCTCTATGCTTATATCCTTGGTCCACCAGGCTACGGCCGCCACGACTGTTTGGTACAAACTCAACGTTCACAAGTACATTTGCCATTTTGCAGTGATTGCATTTGGAGTCCCCAAGAAATTTATAGTGAGTGAGTGAGTTTAGTTTTACGCCGCTTTTAGCAATATTCCAGCATTGTCACGGCGGGGGACACCAGAAATGGTCTTCACGCATTGTGCCCATGTTGGGAATCGAACCCGGGTCTTCAGCATGACGAGCAAACGCTTTACCACGAGACTACCCCCTCCTCCCCCCAAATATATTTACACCCTCTAATGCATTGATTACTCGTCATCACTGTTCACCACATGCTATGATCATGAGTTGAGTTCACTCACTTCGTCATTCAGACACTCATCTTTTGTCTGCATACACTTTCTTAAAGCAAGACACTAATAAATAATATCATATTGTTTATAACAGTAAAATAACCACGCCTCCTACAAATAAACTGTGCTGAGTTCACTCACTTCGTTCAGTCATTCACAGATTATATTCGAGTAAATTCAATTGAAGCTTTAAAAAACTCATAAGAAATAGTCCAAAAAAAGTTTAATTTCATGCAATTTTATATACTCTATACCTACTGTTACCTAATTATCTATACACTTTGATTTCACACTGGCACCACATTTCATGGCAAGTAATTTAATATCGATAACAACAGACATTGTTTAAAGAAAATGCACCAAAATTTGCTTTATATTAACAATAAAAACTAAGAATCAGGTAAAAAAAAGTTAAATTTCATACAGTTTTGTAAATTTACAGTTACCTTATCTATACACTTTTAATTTCACATTGCCACCACATTCATGGCCTTCTTGAATTTGAATTATATATGTTTACAATATATGCTCTTGTACCACCAAGGTGGTTTATGAGAATAAGGAATTGATTTGAATTGAATTGCCACCACATTTCATGTCAATGAATAAAACAGACTACAGTTAATCCCCACTCATTTATCATGGCTGACTGCATTTGCATCCGGAACAATAGGGTGGTGGCATAATGAGACGACTCCATCTGGCCAAGATGTTCAGTTACAATATTGTATGCTTAAATAGCGATAAAGCGAAATGGCGATAATACGATGTGCGATATACTAAATACAGAAGGAAGTAAACGCGACCCAAGGAACCTCGTAAAGAGAAATTAAAGAGGTGAGGTGATTATCTCTTAGCAACTGTTAAACCTCGACGTCATAACAAAACTACTGAGGCAACAACGTCGACTAATGTACAAATGTTTGCATTAACGATTGTGTATTAACTCTTATTATAAACCTGTTTTACATTAAGAGCAGTGTCCCCAACCCTCAATGTACAAACATCATTTTTTCCCATTAAGAATTAATATGTACATATCAATGCTATTTTTATATGTTTTACTGTTTTGTTCTCTTCCTTATAATCATTAGTAATATTTGTTTTCTTCCTTCAGTTTATGCGTTTTCACAGAAACTACAAATAATGGAACCATGAAACTGGTCCTTATTTTCTATAAATCTTCATTAGTTGCACGTCATTTGGGGTCTTTTTCAATCGTGGAACCTACAATACAACGCAAAAATTGTTATCGGGTTCCGCAGTAAAATTGCGAATAAGCTCTGCCTTTTCAGAGCGTAAACCTACCGTAGTCTGCTGATTGATGAGAGTTTCTTGCTATGAATGCGAGGCGGGGCATGAGCATCTGGTTCATCATCAGTTGTATGTCTGTACTTGTTTACAGTAGGTTTGATAAGCGGCGGTTGGGTAGTCGTGTGGTTAAAGCGTCTTCTCGTCACGTCTAAGACCCGGGTTCGATTCTCCACATTGGTCGATGTGTGGAAACTATTTCTGGTGTCTCCCGTCCTGATATTGCTGGAATATTGTTAAAGAAGGCGCAAACTAAACTGACTCACTAGTTCTGATATATACCAAAGATAATTCGTATTTTTCATAGTCATAAGCCTCAACGTGAAATAAGTCTGGGCCCAAGAGTTCTCAGCATAACTGACAAACGAACTCCAGTGAGCAAACTGTGGAACATCACATGATAGACGTGGGTAAACAATGTAACAATAGACTTTCCACGTAAGAAACACCACCTCTGACTACTAATGGAGATACCATGGAGGTTGGAAGTACAAACATTTGTCTATAATCGATCACTTTTGTAGACCACCCGATCCAATGGGCCACCTCTTAAGGCCGCTGCAAGCGTCTGGAGACTAATTCTACCATAAACTCCCAAGGGGAGCCAACTAGTTTCAAGCGAGCAAGTGTATTGTTGAAGCTTCGAGACTTTTTTTTTATTATTCCAGCATAATAGGTGGTGAAAGCTGATTCAAGATGGCACAATGTTTGTCGAAGAAAGTTCATGGTTGTATGCCAGTGATACATAAAGTCAGATATAGTTAATCTGATTGTTTAAGATGCAAAGTTCAAGAAAGGCACATATGGCTATAGGCTAATAGCATACCAAGAAGCTTCGAGACTTACGTCTATCTTTGACACGAGTCTCACAAGGCTGTCATTCCAAGATTCGGTTATTATTCCATGTGATATTCATGTCAGGTTAAACATGAAAATGAACTGAACTGACGTGGGAAAGGAATTAAGGAATCTTCGCTGTCGTAGGTCTGCTTGCTGGTCAGTGGAGCCTCAGCTTGTGATGAGAAAAAAAGGAAGGTGATATATCAAGATGCTGTCAGCAAGAAGAAGTGGAATGTTATCTAAAACAAATATAATGTCTCTGAAAATTCTGGAAGAAAATAATTGTTGCACTTAGATAATATTCAGTTTCATAGTCATGAAGTTAAACATATATTTATCTGGTTCGGCTGTACCTGAAAAATATCAAGTCTCAGTTATAAAATCACAGAAATCATGGGCCGTTCCCTAAAGCCGTTATTATTAAATGCCAAGAGTTTATTGGGTCTTCCCGGGTTCAGCGACTTTCAAAGGCATGATAAGATTGAGACTGATTTTATGTTTAAACGCGGTACCAGGCATACGTGAAGAGATCAATATAACCAACAGAGCAATCTGGACACGCTTGTGGAAGTACAGTAACAAGTACCAAGCGATATTGGAAGACAAAGCTGTGGTTTCGTTGTCCTTGAAGGATCAATGGAAGTAATGTTGTTATCAATTATTAGTGATTGGCTTCTGTTGTACGTCCACAAAGCGGCAATGCGTGTGTAGAGAGTCGGTCTCTATGTTACGAGTGCTGAACGTATCACTACAAGCCAGCTGTCAAGTTTAATGTAGGGCTTGGTTATCAGTTACATCAAGTGACTGTGATTATTGTCCGAGGCGGTGTAATATTACAATTTGCGTTTACAATACAATTTACGTCGTAACAGGAACACGGGAAACAGCTGTGTTACGACGTAAATTTACGA